TGTGTGGGGCAAATCATTGTCAAAATTGGTAGTTAGTGTGTCACATTTTTCCACACTTTTCATCACCACTAGTACATAATGATTTCTCAGTTAGTAAGTGACCTCAATCCTCCATAATGTGTTTGAATGACCCACAATCATTCTGATATCCATGAGCACTTAAAAGTATCCAGCTGATTTGCCAATGCACCATTACCCAACCACTGATTATATTACAGCCCTGGGTTTTTGCAGGGTGGTGGTTCTTTTGACTAGCATGAGTGCAATGTTTGACATCTTTCACCAGTCTTATACTGCAATCTCAATGCATGTGGCATTGAAAGAGAGTCTCTGGGCCACATTTTGGGGGAAATTTGATTATGTAATGACCCACCAGCCAGTAAAGTAGGTGCAGTAAAGACTCATTGTATGTGACACGAGATCACGTGACATCTGCCACTCTGAGCTGTAAATCATCCATAGCTCCCACTACACATTGAAATCCCAAAAAAAAGACTTATCATTTTGTACATACAACATATTGCAATTGATTCAGTGTCTTTTCACTCGGTTCTGGGCAGAATCCAGGGAGGAGATCGCAGAATACTGGTTTGGGTGGCTGTGGTGCTTCCAGGACCAAACAGTGGAAGTGTGACAGAGTGTGATGGGCTCATTTCACTCTTTCAGCCAACCTTTCTATTTTCTCCCCACAAAAGAAAGCCTCCCAGCTCACACAGGGAAGGAACTTAGCATCTGGGAGGGTAAGATTTGGGGAAAAAATAAAAAGGTTGGCTGAAAGAGTAAAATGAGCCTGTCACACTCTGTCACACTGCAACTGTTTGGTCCCATAGGCATCTCGTGTCACGTGCGATGAGTCTTTACTGCGCCTACTTTAGTATTATAAATATTCATACAGTAAGAAAAAAATATACGCTCACGTGACAGCAGATCGGCATTGTAATGGTCTCTCGACGATCAGACAAAGCACGGAGCCAGATTGTTGACGATCATCCTTTATAATTCTATGCTTGTTCCACTCCCCTCTCTCTGTCTGGTCTTCTGGTTTTGGTCCACTCTCATTCTGGTCGACGCCCGCTTTCGACACCACGTTCATTTCTCGGGACTGACCGTGTCGTTTCCTTTCCCGCTAAATTCTATCCCAACGATGGTCTGGTCCCGCTTGCTTCCTCTCCCGTGTCTGCTCGCGTCGGCTCGCGCAGCATGGACTTTAACCCAGCCTAGGACTACGGGAGTGTGAGTCTCTTATTCGTAGATCGGTCACATGGAGCTCAGACGCATTGCAATGGTGCCATGCAGATGACGGTCGTCAGACCAGATAGTGCAACGATCATCGACAAACTCGAGGCGAACCCGCTTCTCACCGCCGCGGGCACAGGTGCTCTCGGCGCGATCTACTCGCTCAGGTCGAACACCATTCGTCCTCTGAACGGAATCACCACCAATAGTTGCTGTGCCGGAGGCGGATGGCTCTCGAACGGAACCAGTGCGCACCTGGTTCCTAGCGTGTGCCTGGCCTTTACCCGATCCGCCCGGCTGTGATTCTCGGCGTTCGTCAGGTCAACAGTGGTCCACATTGGCGGCAACCCGCTCGTCCAGATTGGAAACAGCACTTCACAAAACGGGCTGCAGGGCGTCCGACTTTTTGATCCTTGCAAGGCGGATGAAAACTGCGACGTCTTTGAGGACGCCCTGGCGAGTTGTTTATGGTGTTCTTGGCTATAACCTGATCTTTTTGGTGCAGCATATTCGGCTTACGTCCCCCCGCTGGTATCCTTCTGGTGCTCGCCTCCCGGATGGTTCGCACTTAATAATTGGGGGTGCTTTCGGAGGTGGGTTTACTTTGATATGATTTTAGTGTTATCTCATTAGCGTAGGTGGATGGACCAACAACGTGCAGCTCAACAATTCGACATATGAATTTTATCCTCCTAAAAATATCAACGGGTTCAATGGTAGGTCGAATCCTGTTTCGTGGATTTAACTCTCACGTGTGTTCAGGTCTTCAAATTCCGAGTTCGTTTGCACGTATCCCATGAGCGGCGTGGCTGGCATGCTCCCGCTGCGCTATGAGAACGGCTGGGCGCCCGAAATCATGGTTTGTGGTGGCTCCGAGGTCTCGTGAGTTCTCAGTCCACAAGTCAACCCACAATACTGACCCAACATCTTCCGTAGCGACACGGTTCCCGAAAATGCGCTGAGTTCCAACACCCCAGCCAGCGCTCAGTGCTCGCGCATGGTGCTCAGCGCCAAAGGTATCAGAAAGGTCAGTCTGCCGATTTGAGTTTAGCGGTTTTAGGCTGATCAACATGTCCGATTGGCTGTGTACACCGATCTATTGAACTCCCCTGCTGATCCCTCGATTGAACCTTTCTGCCGATACTCTGGGCGGATCGGCGATGCAGGGCTGGCAAGTGGAAAAGATGCCGGGACCGCGCGGTACGTCTAGAAATTCAACTCTCGATCAATTCTAACGGTACCGGATGTAGTGATGCCCGATGGCGTACTCCTGCCCGACGGTAAAGTCTTGATCGTCAACGGTGCGGCGGGTGGAACTGCGGGATACGGAAACGTTTAGAACCAGGTTGAAACGTCAGACGCCGATGGACCTGCACTTCAGCCCGTGCTGTATGATCCTGATGCGCCAGCCGGAAGGCGCTTTTCGAGTGCTGGAATGTCAACGTCGGATATCGCGAGGATGTATCATTCCGTCGCGTAAGTGTTATTTTTGTTTGTGAATGTAGGCTGAGTTGGCTGTAGGACGTTGACACCCAAGGGTACGGCCATGGTTGCCGGGTCGAATCCGAATCTGGATGTGGAAACCAGGAAGTATCCGACCGAGTTTAGGGTCGAGATGCTTTTCCCAGTACGCCTTTTGTCTCCTCTTTCAATACCACTTCCAATGTTAATGTAGGACTACATGTCCAAACCCCGCCCCTCGATCATCGTCTACGACAAAGTCCTGCGCTACGCTCGTGGTGCGTCTGCGACGATCTCGATGCCTCTTGGTTGACACGAGCGCGGGTTCTTGTTCAGTAAGGTGGAGGTTGTCCTCATGGACCTTGGATTTTTGACACATGGTGTGCATATGGACCAGCGGATGGTGACATTGCCGGCTGTGATGATTGAACGCAAGTTGGTTACGTTTTCTGGGCCTCCGAATCCGAATGGTGAGTGTAAAGCGTGCACTGGGGACGCAGGCTGATGTGGGACGGTAGTTTATCCCCCCGGTCCTGCTTGGCTCTACATTCTTGTAAATGGCGTGCCTTCCGAGGGTATGCAGGTTATGGTTGGGGATGGGCAGCGTCCGCCTGTAGATCAAGGTGCTATCGCTAAGTTGTCCTTCTTGATTTTCTGAAAGGGGTCTAATGTTTTGGTTCTAGCATGCTCGCCAAGACTGGCAACCCGTAAGCTTCCTATCATTTTGGACCTTTTTCATTTTTTCGGACATGATTTTACGAACTATTTCGGAACGGAATGTACTAGGTTCTTGTTTCACGCTTTACCACTCTCACTCTTTCTCGCCGGACTCTTTACGATTGCGGACTTGTGCACTTTCGGGACTTTTTCTTCGTCTGGGGCTCTTGTTGATCGTGTGGGACTTTGTCAATTCTAGAGCGTGTATTTTACTATCTACCTACAGCTGTGGGCGTAATAGAATTGTTACAGTTGAGGAGTGCAGATTGCCGCATGAGCACTCTGTTTACAGGTACGGTCGACTCCGGTAGCGTTTGGACCGAGGAGACTTCCTATTTTTGTTTTTCAGAGACTGTTGTCAATCCGTACAAACAGGTTCGCTTTTTGTGTCTTTGGAGTATATCAGACAATGTCGATGCGTGAATAAAGCCAGCCAGCAGCTAAAACGTGTAGTAAAACGAGTATAACTGACAGGAATGTTAGTTTGAATTTATACAGCGAATGAATGACTAATTTTGGGGTGAAACCAACACCTCTCCGGCAATCTCTTCGTCGATAAGTTCACGCTCGGTTGGCCCTGGGATCGGCAACCTAGCCGTCATTTGTTGGAACTCGAGCTCTAACAGCCTAGGGTACTCCAAGACCTCGGCCAGCCACCCTTCTGCTTCCTGGGTCGCTGCCTTCTTGTTTGAATTATCCGAGCTCTGCTGTTTTGAATGAATATGAGTGGGATGCGTGGTTCGGCCTTGAGGTAACCACAAAGTGTCGATTGGGCGATCCTAGGGAAGCCCATCACATCAATACGATTGACTAACTGGTGCTGGGTGAGTCGCATTGCGTTCATCACAGAAATCGATAATTTTGAGTTTGTCTGAAAAGGATTATGCCTGGAGTGTGAAGGTGTGTTTCCGGGGCAATAAATCTGTGCGATATGGGTGTCAGTATTGCATGGTTTATATCACATACCTGAAAAGTAGCGTCATTGAAAAGAGTAGGAGCGGCCGGCGTAACATGGATAGTTAAAGAGAAAGCACGAGGAGAAAATAAGAAAGTTACTCGAATTCTAGCTACTTAAATTCAGGAAGAAAGATGGAGAATAAATAACATTAACAGAACCAACGCGAGTGTAAGCCGGTGGACCGCATATACTGCGCATACACCGGGTCGATGAATTTTGCAATATGATTGAAGGGCTTGACGCTTTCGACTTTCCCGAGGGAATCACAACGGGGGGTGTCCATCGTGCTTAAAACCTGGCCTAGAAATGACTCGGGGGAAAGTCTGGCCCGTAATCATGTCGACTCGCTACGCGACGTCCCCCCCACTTCTCCCCCACCCCCTCCCTCCCCCGCCCCGCGATGCACCCAAGCGCTCGGCTGGCCTAGCGGAGCAGTGGCAACGAGCAGTTTTATCTGCATCCTGAAGCAGCCAACGAAAAGGCGTGATATGACCGTGAAAGTGCAACAATACATCAAGGGCGCGTAGTGGAGTGGTTACCACGTTGGTCTTCGACGTTCAATTCTCCGGAGTTGCTTACGTAACCAAAGGTCGCCGGTTCGACCCCGGTCGCGCTCACTTGTTTTCTTTTGCTGAGAGAAGGTTAAAAATACAGTGTTGTGTGTGATCCAGCTTTGCAGCTCCCATTCGACTGTTAGGACAGTAAATCTCTGTTTTATGTTGCAAGAAGGCACTTTCAGGCGTCTCTATTTTTCCAGTGTTATTGTTGAGACTTCACTTGAGGGCGCAACTCTGGCTACGGTGGATGGTGAATTTCATGAACCATGTCACACAGGGCAAAGAGCCTTGTAGTTCACTAAATACCTACAATGATAAATGTGTAAAAATGTGCTGTGTATGCACCAGGACTGGTTTAGTATCTGTGCACAATCTCAGGATATTTGTAGCTGAAATGAATGGGTTCCATCGGTGGTGATTGTATAACAACAAGCTGGGTTCAGGGTCAGACAGTAGGCTGGTTCCATACTATGGATGGTCACAAGATTACCGCCCCATGAGATTACCAACCTGACTCTGGGAATGGTTGGCGAGGCAGTGAATGGCAGTGTGTGAACTTGCCGCGTGGCTGGGGCGAGGTTGATCATCAGGTCACCAGGAATCACCGGGCCACCGTGGGATCTTACCGGGTGGCATAGACGTCCACTTGAGCCCGGACGTCCCGCTTTTGCGAGGCGCCCTCCATAGCCGCCGGCAACGATAGGGGCTGGATGGCTTAGGCTCAAATAGAATGCGGAGGTTATTCAACCTTGGCGCGAAACATCCACCATCATTGTGCAGTTCAAGAGGTTCGACTGTATACTTGATTCGAGACGTACATAAGCCAATATTTGTTGCAGTACAAGATGAAACCTGGCGAACAAGCAAGATCAGACAACTGACTGAACAGCATCAAAAGACTACGAACCGTCTTAACGCCCGCTACTGCCATTCGCCGCGGACATGCTCACACTCCACGCCCCCGCCCTTTCGGGCTCCTCCGCCTGCTCCTGCTGTCCGGTCCCTGGCAACTTGGAATGCAAAAATCCAAGTACAAGCGGCAGCAGGCTATTTTGTTGACATATTGTCACGAGGTCGTGCCCGCTCCTTGGCACACCCTTGGCGAGCGGAATCGAATGCATCCCCGTAACAGGGCCTTCTCCGCCGTGCGCAAGCATCGCCCCCAACGACGACCCCGCCCGAGCGTGTCCGGCAGGGGGCCGCGGCGCCCCGTCGTCTGGCGCAATTAGCGTGTCTCGCAACACCTGGACCGCCACCGCCTCGGCCGCCCGGCGCGACTTGGCCTCGAGCGGGCCAAAAGGAGTGTCGCTCGTGTCTGCCTCGACGGCGCGCGTAATCTGGCGCCGCATGACGTTCATCCACTGTTGGTGCACCAAACTGCCCTCGACGCTGAACATGTCCTTGCGCGGCTGCTCGTTGTGACGCACAAACGAGACCTGGAACGTGTTGCGCATAAACACGCGCTCGACGCTGAATCGGTTGCTCAGTGGTAGAGCGGAGCGTTGCGTCCCGTACGCGCCATGATCATCGTCTTGGTCCCAAACGAATTGCCAACGACCTTGAACGTCTGCTCGTTCGACTCGGAAAAGTCGAGCACGTTGGGCTCAAACGACAGATCCTGGCCGTACAGCCGGATCGTAAAGTCTGGATCAGGCTCCGGAATGCGGATGGTGGTTGGCTCCGATGCGACGCGGCACGTCAGCCGGTCGGGCAAACGTCGGGCAAACGGCCAGGAGTAATGACGACGGTCTTAGTCGGTGTGCCTTCGCGCGGGTCAAGCGCTTGGTCGATGCGCTGGTGGCGGACCGAGTCGTAGATACGCTTCAAAACGTCATCAGGAACAAGCATTCGGACGTCGCGCGTGCGGAAGGCGTCGATAAAGTCATGAGGCGCATTTTCGTCGCGAATCGAATGTAGATGTAGTTTGTGCAACTCGATCACGCTTCGGACAACAAGCGTTCGATCGAGAGACGGCTTGTGCGCGTCGCGAGTCGAGTCCTCCTCGACGATGATAGGCTTGGTAATCGCAAGCAGATCGGTAAACAGAAACAGATACCGATCTTTAACCGTATCCAGTCTGCGAGTGAATGCGCCGAAGTGGTGGTCCCCGCGGGCTGTCCCTGTCCTGACGAGTGCGAGGTCGACGAAGCCGCCGCCGGGAATCCGACTGTGATACGAGTGACCCGCTGCTCCCGTGCAAATCCCCCTCCCGCCGCGCCGAGCCCGAAAACACGGCAGTCGAGGG